GGGGGCCCGCCCCGGCAGCCCCCCCAGCTGCTCTGCCTCCGGCTTCCCCGATTCAGCCGCTGGTCAGTTTTAGCAGCGGCTGAATCGGGGAAGCTGGGGGCAGAGCAGCTCCAATGGTCTGGCTGCCCGGAGCACTTCCGGGTTCCTGATGGTGCCGGACTGTCAGATGCCGGACCATCGGAGTTTTACTGTATCATGCATGAGCTTTCGTGGGCACAGCCCACTTCTTCAGATGACCGGAGTTTTAGTGTTAGTGTTGATATATATTTCAATTGTATTGGCATGAGGAAATAAGTACATAGAGCATAAAAAACATTTGTACACTTTGCGGTGTACACCACCATTCCCACTGCTTCTTGGGCTCTTAGGGCACGTCTACACAGCAGGGCTAAAGCTGAAATAAGCTACACAACTTGAGCTATGTCAGTTGCGTAGCTTAAGTCAAAATAGCTTTTTTTGTCTTTTGGCGCTGTCTACACAGCAGGAAGTCTTCCCCTACTCCTTGTACAATGAGGGTTACAGGAGTCAGAGCAAGAAGTCCTCCAGCTCAACATTATATTGAAATAACTGTTTGCTGTGTAGATTCAGACTGTTATTTTGGAATAACGTCAGTTATTTTGAAATAATGCTGTTCTGTAGACACAGCCTTGGAAGACATTTAGGGGTAAATTGGAACTAACACTTTATGGGACTGTGGGAAACTTGGCCACACCCATGTTAAGTGGATATCCGGCTAACCAAAGTCATGCTGGATCACAGATGTTGCCGGACTACAGAGGTTCAGCCTATACGTTGGTGGAGTCCAGTATACTGTTAGCATATTCTAAGTAGTAACTTAGTATGTATTTTTCTAGTTGGGCTAAAAATAAAACTAATTAGAAAAAATGTAATGTCTCCTAATAATTATAATTCTCAAAATAAAATTTAGACGTCTATATCTGGAAGCTTTAATTTTAAATACTTTAATTCCATTTCCATGAAAGCAGCAAATAAGATGGTTCAAATTTAGGCACCTAAGAACTGAGAAACACCAAAATGCAGAAATAGGCTCTAATGGAGGGTTACACTATGCTTTAATATCAGAGGGGTAGCCGTGTTAGTCTGAATCTGCAAAAGCGGCGAGGAGTCCTGTGGCACCTTATAGACTAACTGAAGTGTAGGAGCATAAGCTTTCGTGGGCAAAGACCCACTTCGTCAGATGCATGTAGTGGAAATTTCCAGAGGCAGGCAGTTAGTCTATAAGGTGCCACAGGACTCCTCGCCGCTTATGCTTTAATAGTATGCTATAAATAGTTAAACTTGCCCTATACCCACGTGTCCTTTCTTTATGCTCTGGTGTCACTGTTCGTTTGGTAAAGGCAAGACTTGTAATTTGCTACTTGATAGAAGTTGAAATATACAGTGTAGTTGTAGTCGTGTCCGTCCCAGGCTCTTTCAGAGAGACAAAGTGGATGAGATAATATCTTTGATTAGACCAACTTCCTCACCCACCTGATTATTGAAACGTTCAGAAGATGTGTTAGAGCTTGCTCACTAGGTACAGTTTAGCATTCTGCATTTTATATACTATGAAGTAGCCAGGGTGGGGTAAGGTTTTGTGGGACCTAAGGCCAAAGCAAATAGAGGTCCCTATCCACCTCTCTGCCTTTAGTACCCCTGCTACTGTGGTGCTCCTGCTAAGTAAATAGGGTCAGAAACCAGGGCTTGCTTCACCTCCAGCCAGGGAACAGGTATGGGGATGGGTAAGGCCTGCTCCCCAACTACAGCACCCGGCAGGCAGAGTGGGGCCAAGCTCTCACTGCCTGACTCTGCTCCCCAGCTGTGTGCTGGGTGGACAGAGCAATGTAAGCCCCAGAACCCTGACTCAGCTTTTGGGCTGGCATGTTGAGTGTGCAGGGACCCTTGTGCACATGCCCTGTTAACCCAGTGGCTAATATGCCACTGGAAGTAACAGATAAAATCATAGATTTTCTTAGATGAGGTACAAAGTAGAAGAAAAATCAAAATACTTTCACCTTTTAAATGATGCAAGTAAAATGCCTATTTGGTTAATCATTGAGGAAATTTTGGGATTGGTCATTTATGGAACAGTTTTACAGAGGTTGCTATTTGCAAAAATTAAATCTTACTAAGCAAGCAGCATACTTAGTTTAGAAAAAAGGAACTAAGGTGTGGTCACATGCCCTGTAATGACCTTTTAATTGAAAAGATTTCCAGATATTTGTGAGCATAGGAAGAAGTATTTATACACAACACATTCTAATTTGGGATTTATTGCAATAAGTACATCTACAGATTCATATTGGGAAGTATTTGAAAATCTGATAGTTAACTATCCGATTTTTACTTTCATGGACCAGCAAAGACAATTTTAGGCTGTTTAGAATTTTTCATTATGTGCCACTTAATGGATCTGGTATCTAAAAAAATTCCTAAAATATTGGGGAAAGCCTAGTGGCATATGGGAAGGTGCTTCTTATGCCAAGTTTAAAAAGTGTACAGTTTTTAACAATAGTGGTCCCACAGCTGCAGTTTAGTGTTTGAAAATTGCATTCAGTCTGGCAAAGCTGTTCATTTTGCACCTGCCCATCGTATTAGCTATGAAAAATAATCCCATTGACTTTGAATTGTATTCAATTTTGTTTGAATTGACAAACTCAAATTTGCATCACTTTGGTATTTAAAATTGTTTGCAGTCTGACAAATAACCTACAACTTAGACTGTTTCCTTTGGTGGTCATTTGAATTTCAAAATAGCAAAAAATCTACAAAATATATAGACCAAGAGACTTTGTTTGAACAGCTTTAGACAGTCCATCAGGACTGAACTGACTGCCAGACCACCTGCACTTTCTTCAGACCTCTGCATATATAAAGCGCTAGTGTAGCTGTATTTGCTTAGCTTCTAATTTTGGTTTGCTTTTTGTGTTTTTCTTTCTTTCTCTTGGTTGTGCCACTCTTCTTCCCATGGTACTGTGCTCGCTCTTTCCGTGCATCACCTGTGATACTTCCCTGCTCTGACTACTCAGCTGTTGGTGAAGGGGGTACATGAAACTCTGGTAGCTCAGAGAGTTGTCCCTGCTCTCATTACTCTCTCCAGTGACCCTGAAATGTAAGTGTACTGATCGCCTTATACATTAAGCATCCCTCTTAATACTTGTCTAGAAATAGCCATCAGTTTTCTTTAGTATTCCCATCACAAAAGTTTTTCTCATTGAAAAAAGCATGTTTCATTTAAAATAAGACCCTTTCAACTGCAGATTTAAAAACTAGATTGACTGTGCTATCTAAAAGTAAAAATTATTTTTGCAATAATCAGAAGATAATAGTTGAAGAAAATTAAATTGAAATTGAAAATTGTTACACGTATAATAATTCTCTTAATTAAATAATTAAGTTAATAAATGTTAATGTTTAATATAGTGGCAGTCACGTATACTCACAATACTTCAGATTTCAGAGGTATCAGCTTTACTGCAGTAAGTCAAATGTAGCAAATACTCCTTAGTGCTACTGCAGTTAGCTTGGGGAAAATACACACATAAACAAGAATTAAAATAGTGAAATACAAAATAATTGGTTAGCTGTACCATAATCTCTGATAAGTAACAGTCGGAATTCAATGCCCTGTGTATGCATTTCAAGGGCCAGCATACTGTTGTGATATTTCTTTCAGGATTAGGAGGGATGTTTTGCTAATCTCACTAACAGGTTGTTATCAGTAACTGCCAGAGCATGAACAAAGATTTTTAATCTTTTTAATGTCTTGTGTGAGTGACTAAATAAACAAAGGCCTGTGAGTCTGCCTGCCCATCCTCAGTCACAGCTAACCCAGTTCTCCTTCCAGTTTACCAAACCATTTTTTATTGCATGTTGACTGGTTTACAGCTGACTCTTCGAGGCATGAATGAAGCCTTAATTGACAAGCGGGTTGCTCCGGCCCTTGTTACCTTGTCCAGTGATCCTGAATTGTGAGTTTCAGACTGAGACCTTAAGTTAATCAAGTCTTTTGAGCATTTTTCCTCATCTACTTATTTTTTTTTATTTTGTCACTGCTAGAAACTAATGTATCTTAATGTACTAACTTTGAATTTTCATTACTTTTTATTGTATTCATTCCTAAGGCTAAACACAGCTTAAAGATTTTTTTTTTCCCCTCTTATAGCTCTGTCAGGATTGCCACAATTCCTGCTTTTGGTACCATCATGGAAACGGTTACTCAGAGAGAGGTAGGAATACTGCATATCAAACTGAAATATTAAGCAGCAATCAAACTATTGCTCAATCATTTAGCAGGTGGTTGAGTTTGACAAGTACAGTAATGTACTGCCAAACTGCGAGCAAGAGATACACTTATAAATTTTTTTCTCACAAAGGTGATTTTCTTAAACAATGTTAAGTTCCTAACTTCTACAACATAATAGGTTTACTATTAGGAGAAATTCTTGTTTCATACACACAACTTAATCTTGCAAAAGGATGGAAGAAGAATGTGTTAGGATTCAGGATTTTCTAATTTTATGTTCTTTATGAAGACATTTTTCATTATGGCACAGAAATCAAAAATAACAGCTTGATGGAAGTTAACTGTGAAGCTGGGAATGAAGTTTTGTTCTGAGATACTGGACAGTCTAAAAAAGAATTTTAGAACAATAACACACAGGGGTATTGGATGTTCTGGTGGATTGATAACAAGGCATTAGGACATTTTCTTGAATGAGTTCCCTTTAGTTGCAGTAAGAGAAGTATAAATTAGGAATGTTAAAATGGGTTTAATTATGTAATCATGTAACTGCTGAAAATTTCAACAGTTGCAGGGGGAGGGACAGGCTCCCATCTGCACCCCACCCACGTGCTGCCTCCTCTGATACAGAGGCAGCAACATGGAGGAAGGGGAGAGGCCCCTTGTGAGTAACCTTGCATGTTAACTGATGAGCCCAGTCTCATCAGTTAACCATGTAAATAGTTATACTGTAACATCCCTAGTATAAATATTACATTAATTTACCAAATGTTTATAAAACCGAGCATAACTAATAAATGCTATTTAGAGTTTTTTAAGCAGTCAAAAATTAAATCTCTTTGAACAATACATTAATTGCTTCTATAGCTCTTAGTGGTGTTAAATTGATTTAAAAAATTGTAGCCTTACAAAAGTTAGGACTGTCTTCCAGCAGGAGGATGTATGCTTCATTTTGCTGAGTATCCATACCAATATGAGGTATAAAAAGCACACTACTTTCTGCAGAGCTTGCATTCTTCCTGTAATTTCAACATGTTCTTAAATCCTAAAATAATATGTTTGAGGAAATGTGAGTAAGTCGTCAATGATGACTCAGAAGTTCAGTTTTTGGAAGATGGATAAGTAGCAGTTTTGTCATTGGGAATGCATGTTACACATTGCATTTAGTTAAAAAGTCCTTGGTTAACTAACTGAAATAACTATATTGTTTGCTGCCATTATAAATCTTTGTAACATAGAGGCTATGTATCATCCAGAAGCCTAACATAGAAGGCATCTGAGCAGGAAAATGCTGATTTGCTTTTTATCTGAATGCTTTTAAATACCATTTAATCCAGTCAAGTTTAACTTCAGAAAAAATTGACAGTTTGTCCATATTTTTTTTCTGTTTTGATGATGTAAAATGCTTTTTAATTATTTTCTGGTCTCTTGTTCATCAGGTGTTTTCTTTCATTAATTATTTGTAAAGTAGTTACTTCTGATTCTGCACGTATTTCTTTCCATTTCTGTACTTCTGATATTAAAAACATGGTTAGAGCTATTGCTACTTCAATTCTAACTAAAAAAAAATTGAAGATAAGGAAGCATAATAAGAGAACCAGGGGTGGGAGAAGCTATTTATAGAACATTTCCCTTGATCAAGTAGAACATTGTGATAGCATCCTAAAACAAAAGGTGTTAGGATATCCTGTAACAGTGAGGAATATAGATTAACCAAAAAATAAATATTTTAACACAACTTTGAAAACTGATTGAAAACAGAAATATATTGTAAAACTGACTGAAGTTTTTGCCACCTTTACTTTTTTTGTAAATATTCAAGGTTGGCTTCTTTCCTTGAAGATCCTCAGTATCAAGACCAACATTCTTTACACACAGAAATCATAAAAACATTTGGAAGAGTTGGACCTAATGCAGAGCCCAGATTTAGAGATGAATGTAAGTGGCAACTTAAGTGAATGTTTCTTACCTAAAAATAACAATTGAGAATAAAATATCAAATACTCATAAGTTGATTGCAATGTATTAAGCAGAATGTGAACAATAATATTGAATAGCTTCTTGTTGAGAAATGCTTTCTGTATATTACAACTCTTCATAGTCCATAGATATATGTGAACAATGATTTTAATGCTTGTGGCTTTCTAATTCAAGAGCAGATATTCTGCCATTTTGTTTGAAATACGTTTGCAACACAGTAATTGAAAACCCCCTAGCAGTCCCACTAGAAGCCATCATTTACCAGCCATTATCATACACTTGTTGCTGAGAAACTTCAGATATTTGTTTCTATCTCTGATGCCACTTTTTACCATTTATGGTGACCATATGCCCCTTTTTTTCTGGGACGGTCCCGGATTTAAGGGTTCTGTCCTGGTGTCCCAGTAAAGGGCACAGAGGGGCATGAGGGGAACTACGGCAGAATGTTTGTGAGGGAGTGGGCATCAGGGAAAATGAGTGCAAGGGGGGCAGGAGCAGTGAGGGAAGGTGGAGGCACCAGGAGGTGCAGGGGTAAGTGCAGGTGCCAGGGGATTCTGGGGATGAAGCAGTAGAGCAGACACCTGCAGGGGCAGGACCAGAACCAGCGGAGAGAGGTGAGGGAGGTGTTAGGAGAGGGGATGAGGAGGAGTAGCTACACATGATCAGAGTGGGGCTACTGGAGGAGTGGGCACGGGGGAGAGAAGGGCTGGTGCAGGGGAGCAGGTCCTGGGAGGGCTGAGGGGAGTGAGACGGGCAGGGGAGCTGATGGAGCAAAGGAAGGAGACCTGGCAGCAGAGGGAAAAGGTAGAGGTTTATAAAATATTTATTAATAAATTGGGTGCCATAGTGGCACATCCAAACAAGCCACATGAACACTCATCCCTATTGGTAGGAGGATGGCGGGAAAAGTTCTTGGGGGGGAGGGGGGGTCACATGACACCTTTTATTTCTGGTCATGTGTCCATCTTGACCCCGGGAGTGTTATCTCCAAAGGTGTGGCTAATGTGGGTCAGGGGCATGGTTAACAGGGGTCAGGGGTGTGGCTAATATGTCCCTAATTTTGGTTCAGAAAATATGGTCACCATACCAATTGCTAACAAATACAATGTACTATAGCCCTTTGGAAAAAAGTATCATTTTTTTTCCTAAGCAACTTAATCTGGTGCCTTTCTTACTGCATGGTGGGTAGGAATTGCTTATTGTTTTACCATAAAGACAGCTTTGCAGGTTAGTGTATATTAGGGGAAAGTCTGTGAAAGTGAATGCAAAACAATACTTTGATTCAAATATTTACTCTTCTAGTTGTTATTCCACACTTACACAAGTTAGCCTTGGTCAACAACCAGCAGTCTGTGGATTCAAAGAGACTGGACATTGCAACCCATCTGTTTGAAGCCTATAGTGCTCTTTCCTGTTGTTGTATCCTTATTCGGTTATATTTTTAACTGTTAATTGTTTTCACTCTTTTGTTTTTAATATTTGGGAATTACAAAGTAGCTTGCTCTCTCGGAGTAGATTGTATAAATATGTAAGTTTCTCAGTAATCTAAAAACGCAGATACAATAGATAGAACTAAACATTATTTTGAAAAAACCTGAAATTTGTATAATTTTTGTTAAATCTGCTTTGGGGACAGGGAAGAACTCTGAAGATAATTATGTAGGTATCTTGCTAAATGCCTTCTACCCTCCTATCCTTTCATTTTGCATTCTTTTGACATAATGATATTAATGGCATAGATTGATTCAAGTACTTTTCTATATATATATTTACCAGTTACTTCCCTTTGTCATACTTGTTACAAAAAATAACATCTGGAATTAATACAGTTTTTATGGTAATGGATTATTCTAAATAAATTCCAGACACAGAATCTATTTTATTTTTGTGTTTGTATTAAATAAAGTTGTTACAGTAAGACAAGTCATAGCAAATTGTTTTAAGCCATGGGTTGCCTCTGTTCTTTGTCCCTCACCCTATTTTCATCTGCTGCTGTTCAGGATCAGGCCCTATTCTTTTGTTTAATTCTTCTTTCATGTATTATTCTCTGCTCATTTTGACTCTGCTTTGGGTCGCTTGATATCAAATTGCTAAAATCAAAACCTGTGAAACACTTCACAATAGCTAGAATAAATGCTAATATTCTTTTGTTAGGTAATTTGTGTATTGTCTTGAGATGAAAATATGTGACATCAAATGCTAATTATATTGTTAGA